TGAACATACACAAAGCCACCAATTGTTCGCTTTGAAATGGTCAAAACAGATAGTAAAATTTACCTAATTTTAAAAATTAAAAAAAGGAAGTCAGAACAACAGACATTTGAAAATCATGAATGCAGAAATATTCATAAAGTCATAGAAACGGACATGGCTGCTCAGGCCGATATGTTCAGAATTAAGAAGACCAAGACCTGAAACTGAGAGAACAGCGAACACTGCGTGTGAGACTGAACCAGGCTACAGACTCAGCTGAAACAAAAACGGCCGCCCCCCATTACTACTGAAGTCCTCCCACCTCTTCACTGAAGCGAGTGAAAAGTAAACTCTCTGGAAATCAAGAGAATCTGGTTCTCTATCCCTGTCCCCAAACCTGCAGGGACAGGCCAGTACCTGTCGGTGACGGCCGAGAAGCTGAGCAGCAGAGTATTGAAGAGCGCCAGCAGTTCCTTCTGGAGCTGTTGCCTGACGGCGGTCCGGACGTCGTCTGCCTCCTCTCGTGCCTGTGACTCTGTCAGAACCAGCAGGTCCAGCAATGGGTTTGGACTCTGAAAATGAAATCAGTACAGAGTATGTCTACTCTCTACCTGAGCTGTGTGTTGCTTCCTGCAGCGGTATTTGTGGCTCATCATGTTCTGTGTTAACTGAGAGCTGTACACCTAACTGGCAGGTATGGGTCTCTACTGCATTCCTGGGGACGGTCTACATCCAAAGGGTGCTTCATACATCACCTCAACCAAAAGAAAGCACATCTATTCTAGAAAACCGAGGAAAACACAGAGAAGTGCAACGAGAAAAATAACCACCCGTAATCACACCTCGCAGAAACAGTGGCTTTCAGCATGCTGGTACACACTTCTTTTTCTGCGTGTGTGAGTATAAATGTAATTATAATTCTGTATTTTTAACAAAACTGAGGTCAAGTGAAAAAACCCACTATTATAACCATTTTTCTTACTTAAAGTTATTATCAATACTTCTTCAAAAACTTATAAATATCTGATTGTTTTCAACCACGAGGATTTACCACACTGACCACTGAGCAGTCAGTGACCTCTCATTTTACTGGGCAGCATCATGGGCTCCACTCTGAGCATGTACCACATACGAATTCTAAGCAATGAAACAATTAAGTCAGAAGATTAGAACCGTTTGATGCTTTTGAGGAGCACTGCCAAGCTGTCCTTGCAGTAAGCATACAACCCACACCGCTCCTCAGGGAGTAAGAAGCCACCATCCCAGCCAACAGTAGTATCACCACTGTTGGCCTCTCTCCAACAAATAAAACTAATGCTGTTTAAAATTTTTCCTGTTTTCCATTTTAAAAATATAACTACAGCCAGGCCAGGCGTGGCTCAGCGGTTGAGCGTCGACCTAGGATCCAAGCAATCGGGGTTTGGTTCCCGGTCAGGGCACATGCCCGGGTTGTGGGCTCGATCCCCAGTCGGGGGCGTGCAGGAGGCAGCCGATCAATGACTCTCTCATCATTGATGTTTCTCTCTCTCTCTCCCTCTCCTCTGCTCTCTCTGAAATCAATAAAGATATATTTAAATATGTATATATATATGTATATATAACTAAAGAAATATAATAGGATTGTTTCTAACGATGCTGAGAGAATAGAAAATATTACATTAACCCCCAGCATTCACTGATACACGGAATCTTTATCAACCATCTATAATGTCACAGGCAGTGTGCTAAAAAGAGGAAGAAAACAAGATTTCATTTAACTTTTTGATTAAAATAGAAAACTAGCATTTTCTTATTTTACACATGGTAAAGGAGGTTTATAAGGTTAATTTGCCCAAAGTCAGAAAAATGGGCAGAGCAAGGATTTAACCTCAGAACCATTTTAATGCAAAGCCAGTTAATATTCTGTCCCCGGCATTATGTCAATCAAAGAGAGATAGTCAAAATGTAATTACTGTTATAAAATCCTTCACCTAAAGAACTCAACTCAAAAATAACCACATTCTCTTTAGCAAAAAGAAATAAAAAAATCTGGGAGGAAAATCCCAAGCTGTTTACTTATGCAGGGTGTAGAGCACACTTCAGTCAGGTATACTCAGAGCATACACACAACTGAAAACAATATACCCGAGAGCCCTGGAAAGTACTGGGGAGAGGTTTTGCCTGTAACTTACTTCACTATGCTTCACCTAAGCAGTTCTGTCCCCAGCTTTTCCTTCATCTTGAGCAAGAACTGCCTCATTTGGATCCAGTAAAATTACATGAAACACAGCTACAACTTCCATGTCTCACACATAAATAAAACAATCGAGATACACATTTAATAAAATCATAAAAATAAATGCATAATTTACAGTACTCTTAGCCCCACATACCCAAAGGCAGACTTAGGCAGACCCACAGTGCAGCCAACTCCTCCACACACTGACAAAAATGAACAAGCTCTTGGTAAGGCAAACCACATCGTGGTAAAATATAACTTTACTGTCAGGAATTACTAATTCTAATATACAGGTAAAAATTTAGTAGAAGCTACTGATTCATATATGACTACATTGACACAGTATGTATAACCTGAAGTTAAGATTCCTCTAAAGAATCTCATCTACTGATAACTTGCTTTTGGCTGTAGTTGCTGAGACTTTCCCTTTATAGTCTGGCACGGAGTCACATGTTAACACTGAGATTTGGGGAACCTCAGCGGCATCACCTCTAAACTATGGGATGAATTACCATTCCTCAAGCACAGCAGAGCAGAGCAGATGTCTCCACTAATGCCAGGTGATCTCAATGCTTAATCATACTTGAAGGTTTGTTTTTGGATATTAGCATCCATCCTAATTCTAAACCAACCACTGGGGCCATCATTGTGTCACTGCTGACCTCCTTCGAAAGGCAACAATTTCTGTAACGATGGCTCATTTTCCTTAACCGCTGTTTCCACCCATCACATCCAATTTTCCACCACCAGCAACCGACAGTAGCAGGATGTGCAACGTCCCCATGAACTCTGAGTGCACGTGTTCCTGTTAAAGCAGCCGAGAGAGAGACGCACACAGTGTAGTTCTGAATAGCTACCCCCCAAAAACAATTAGGGTCCCACTTCTATAAACGTCCATCAAAAAATTCATTCTGTCAAGAAAGGTCTTCAAACTCATCACTTCTGGGTTATTTTATATATTAACAAAATATCAATACATGAAAATGTAGATTAGCGGTGCAACAAATTCCTGTAGTGCCTGAGAATTAAAATGTTTGTAATAAATGAGAGTTTTCATAAATCACATAAAATTTTCACAACAGAAAGCTCCTCCGCTTTCCCTGGGTAAGTTACCTGACTTTTCTTTATGCTTCCTAGTATTCTTCTGTCTAATCAGGTGTTCAAATTAGCCTATTTTTGTTAGTTTTTGCCACCATTACTTTTGCATATATTTTCATATCCTGTCCATACATTCAAAACAATCCCTTGTTTTGACCCTCTTAAATCATTTCTCACTTATTTTTACCCACTTCAAATAACAAACTTTAAAGACACTCGACTTCCTATTTTCAGGCTTCCTTTAGTCTGAACACTGGTCACTGCAAACACTTAATAACTCAATTCCCGTTGTGCCATATTTAGAGAGGAAACCCTTCAGAAAGGGGATGCTTAAGTCCATGCTGCTCCCCCTCAAAAGTATTATTTATAACATTAGTGATGGCAATATATGAGGAAATAAAGTAAAAGCTTTCCAGACACAGCCTTAACACTATACAAAGTCAAATAAATAAATTCAATTATAACAAAAATCCTTTGTAAACCTGAATTAAATAAAATCTTATAGAAATTTCATTTTAATTTCAAAACTATGAATAAATTATACAATATATATCTGCACTCACACACTACAAAATTCACAATCATTTAAATGTAAAGTTTCAACTATCTAGTTGCAGTTACATAATTTAGGCAAATACATTTTATTATGTAGTGATTTTTCAATTGTTATATACCATGTACAGAGTCTTTTATGCTAATTTTTAATTTTTGCACAGATTTTCAAGAAAATGTTCTACAACTAAAGTCCACTATACCTGCCATTTCACAACCCAACAATCAAATTCCCCAGAACACAGAAACTCTAACCTGAGGAGGTTGCTTTAAAGCTTATTTTTTTAAAAAAGGGGTAAAAAGATTAAAGTTATAAAACTAGATCAAAAATTAGAGTTACTGAAAAACTCATTCAGAGGGAAAGCTTCATAAAGATTCTTTTAATAATATTTTAATATCCAATTTCTAAGATAGTTAAGCATGCTTAAAAGTTAAAAGCATTATGCCAACATTAGGCTTTACTGTTTTGCTTTATTAAAAATGTTCAGAAAATAATTGCCTCTGAACACTTAATTTTTCAAAAAATTACAAGAAGAGAGAAAATTCAAAGTAAATAGGTTTTTGAAATCCTTCTTGAGAGAGGAAAAGAGCAAACTTTACCAAACAGTGAATCTATGTGTTCTGGAAATTGAATCATCTTATTGGGAAGTTGAATCATCTTATTGGGTTAAAATGTGTACTTTAAGGACATTAATCTTTTGCCTCTCATTTGTATTATAAATATTTTTCTGAGTTTATCATATTTTTTAACTATGTTTAAGGTGTTTTTTGCCATGCATACAGAAGCCAATAATACTGACATAGAATGTCCATCCAGTGGACAACTGTTCTGTCCGACATTTCACAAAATGGAAATAAAGTTAATCTGAAAGAAGTAAAAATGGCCAGAAAAATATAGAAAATAAAGCTTATTAAAGAAAAAATTGTTAAAATAATTCTAAAATGTAGTTCTCTAGAAAATATGAGCATATCGAAGGAACATAATACAAAGTCTAACTAAAGAGTCACGCACATACAGGAAATTAGTTTGATTTTTTAAATGGTAGCAGTTAAAATCTGAGGAAGATACATCATATAGAAAAACTGCTAACCATTTTAAAAAATAATCTACACCAAAGGAAATACAAGATGAATAAAGATATAAACAAAACTCTAAAAATTATAAAAGAAAACATGGGAATGTTTACTCAAACTTTGGAATAGAAGAGACCTTTCCAATAAGATACATAATTTAGAACCGACTGCGTAAAAATAATACGGCAGTGAATAAAATAACCTGTCCTATGGCATCTACTTTCTAGTGGGGTGGGGCACACATAAAATCAACAAAGATATTCTGCAGGTAGAAGTGATAAGTGCAATAAAGAAATATAAAATAAGAGGTAAGACAGAGACAGAGACAAGCATGGAGGGACGTCACAGTGATAATGGTCAGAAGGTTAGTGTTTGAACAGAGCACTGAATTAAGTGTGGTGGTCAGCCATATAGCCATCTAGGGAAAGAGTGTGCCAGCCAGAGAAAAAAGGAAATGCAAAGGCACTGAGGTCATTGGGAATCTCCAGACAAACACATATACACACGTATCTTTGCAATTTGTAACTGACTCAGCAGTTGCTAGGAATTGAGTCTATAAGTATGTACTTGCACATGTAATGTGGCCCACAGTTTCCCGTTTTTGTTAAATTTTAGCAAGTTATGAAATTAAGGTTATGTGTTCTCTTGTAATTAAGTACATAGATTCCTTATTGTCTTAAGTTTACTACTGAGCTAATACATGTCTATTGAGAGCAAGATACTATGGTAGATGATGCACCTGTGAACAAAACAGTCCCCATTTTCACCAATCCACAAAAAGGTAAAAGAAAAGAAACATCTAAACAAGTGTTATATACACACAAACACTCATACACATAATATGTAGACTTCTTAAATCTATATATACTCTCAATTAGAATTTCTAACTTAAACCAAAAAAGTGTTCTCAATTAGAATTTCTAACTTACACCATATTGGCACTTTGTATTTTTACAGAGAATCATGTTTTTAAATAAGCTTGGTACATGTATTAACATATGATGAAATATATTTGTCTTATAAAGTCTACTATCGTCTTTATCAACTTAGGCCCTCTTTTCTAATTTTTATGTGTTTTGGTTCATGATTACTTGTACAAAGGTTTATCCTTGCTAGGCTAAGTAAATTCATATGTTTGAAAAAATCATAGATAAACCAATGATACATAGTGAGCTAGATTCTTGGCAAATTTTCTTTAGAATACAGTCAGCTAAAAAGTTGAGTAGAGGGGGCTGGAAGGGTGAATCTATGATAAACTTACATTCAAGTGATCACCTCTGGACTCATTCTTTCCAACCTCCCATCACGATACCCTCACTGCCTTCACCTGGTTTGGCTCCTTGCCTCTCCACGTTCCTATCTGCACCACCACCCCACCACCCACCAC